GGGTGTCCCGGCAGCAGCTCAGCCACGGACAGCTCCGGGCGTGAAATCTGATTGAAAGTAAATATATTTGGATAAGGGGGGGCAGAGCTGCCACCCCGCCGGGCCGCGAAATCGAAGCTGTGCGTTTTTTAGAGGATTAAGTAAATCACGTGGTAGATATTTGAATATTCATGCAGGTTCTTTTCCCTTGGCTTTATAAACATGAGAGAGAGAGAGAGAGAGAGAGAGAGAGAGAGGGACAGAGAGAGGGAGAGAGAGAGGTTAAATTTTACCTAATTCACGTCCCAAAAGAGCCGGGTGTTGGCGGAGGAAGGCCACTGTCCGTTACCACCACATCTTTCGGTGGTGCCGGGCGCCTGCCAGGGTCCCGCGGGTGCTTTGACCACCGTGCTGGGTGGCGGCTGAATCTGAGGTGCCTGGCTTGGACACCAGCTCCCCGATGTGCGTCCGTCGGCCCATCTGTCCATCCGTCCGTCCGTCCGTCCGTCCGTGTCCGTGTGGTCTCTGGTGGCCGGTGGCTGAGACGTCCCCGGGGGCTTCTGCTTTCTACAGGGGAGGGGAGAAGAGCCATCGCCGCCCACCGCCCTGTGGGTTCCGCCCGGCCCTTCCGCACGCTTCCAGCGTGGGGCGGGCACAGCACCTGCCGAGGGAGGAGAGGCCGGTGCCCGTCTTCCCGTCACTCCTGAGCTCTGCGCCCCGGCTCCAGGGGTCCCCCGAGGAGCTGAGCCACCGCACTCTGCCAGGGGCAGCCGAGGTCAGGGGTCCCTGTCCTGGTGGAGCCCCCAACCTTGCCCAGATGGATGTGGGCAGGCGTCGTGGGTGGCGGAGGTGCCCCTCTGCCCCCAACTTCCGGCTTCAGGGCTGGCCTTCGGGGACCTTGGGGACGCCTCAGCCTCCTGCCCTGGGGACCGAAAACACAGCCGGTGCTGGGGAAGGCGCAGCGTGCGGGCTCTCCCAGGCCTCTGAGGGGCAGCTGTGAGGATGGATGGATGGAGGGACAGATGCATGGGTGGACAGACGGAAGGATGATACCGCCCCCACTGTGAAACAGGGGCCAAGGGGGCTGGGGGTAGGGCCAGGGTGCTGAGGTGGGTGCAGGGGTACAGGGGGCTTGGGGACCCCAGGTTACTTCCCAAATTAGTCTCCTCTTCCACCCTGCCTGCCTCTCCCTCCCTCCCTCCCTTTCTTTTCTCTTTCTTTTTCTCCCCCCTCCCTGCTCCCCCTACTTCCCTCCCCTCTCTCCAAAGGAGGCGCAACCCCTGCCCCCTTCCCCGCAGCCTCCCGGGACCCCCTGTCACCTGGCCGCCCTGGCACTGCCGCCCGAGGAGGAAGCTCCCGCTGCCGGCTGCCCGGCCCAGGCTCTGGCTGTGCAGGGGTGCCAGTCCTCCCTCGCCTCTGGCCCTTCCAGAAAACGTGCTGGGGAGAACATCTGGCTCCCCAAGAGGTTGGGACCCCAGCCAAGGCACTTCCGGTCTCTGCTGAACCCACCGCCTGCGGGATGTGGCTCCGTTCCGCCTGGCACTCGCAGCCAGGGGTCCAGGGGTCCAGGGGTCCAGGGGTCCAGGGGTCCAGGGGTCCAGGGGTCCAGGGGTCCAGGGGACACCGGGCTCCCCCCTCCCCTGTGGCAGTGGGACTGGGATTCTGCTAAGCTGCAAGGCCAAGGGGGATTTTGGAAAAGGTGACCTCACTCTGCTGGCCAGTAACTTCAGAAAAACAGGCCAAAAAAAAAAAAAAAAAAAAAAAAAAAAAAAAAAAACTCCCCCAAAAGAGCCAACAGGACAAGACCAGGAAGGCCGAGGAAACCGAGGGACCTGGTTGATCTCCACTGCTTCTTGGAAGTTTTAT